AGGATAATCAGTTCGTCAGCTCTTTCAATAGCGTATCCGAGAGATTAGCTCGTAAGATAATGAGGATTGTGCATACTTAGCCTTGCGCATCTCGCCACGAGTGCGATGTGCTGCGAGGGAACTTGGCCGGGCGAGCTCCAATCAAGCCTGTGCAAAAAAGTAGTAGCAGAAGTGGTAATGGTAGCAGTAGCAGCAGCAGCAGTAATGGTAGTAGTCGTCGTAGTGGTAGTAGTCGTCGTCGTAGTAGTAGACGATAAGAATTAGACGTAGAAGTAGCAATAGTTTGTAGCTGTCTGGTAGCTGGCAACTAGTATAGCTAGTAGCGGCAGCAGGTAGTAGGCAGTACGCAGTGGGCAATAGGGTTTAGGTAGTAGTAGTAGATCGGCGTCATGACTCCATCTATTAGGATAATCAGTTCGTCAGCTCTTTCAACAGCGTATCCGAGAGATTAGCTCGTAAGATAATGAGGATTGTGCGTACTTAGCCTTGCGCATCTCGCAACGAGTGCGATGTGCTCCGAGGGAACTTGGCCGGGCGAGCTCCAATCAAGCTTGTGTAAGAAAGGAGTAGCAGAAGTAGTAATGAGTAGCAGCAGCAGCAGCAGTAGTGGTAGTAGCCGTCGTAGTGGTAGTTGTAGTCGTGGTGGTGGTGGTCGCGGTGGCGGTGGTGGTGGGGTTTTGACTCTGTGCGGAGCTTCTTTGCGTCCTGCACATAATGAGCATGTTCGAGGATGGTTCGCCACGTATCTCCTTCGTGGCCTGTGTCGGTCGTGAGCAGCCGCTGTTGCAGCTGACTCGCTTTGTGGGGAACGGTGATCGATAAGCACCAGAGCACCTCTTTGTCGGCAGCTTGCTTGCTTTTCCTTTAGATCCGCTCAGCGCAAGATGGGCAATGCAGCACTTTTGCATACCCTTATTAGTGCCCCCAATGGAGTTGCTGTGTCCTTTCAGTATTTCCAGTTGGTTTGAGGGACCATTCAATGCTTCGCTTCTCCCAGGGGCAAGCGGCTGACGCTTTCGCTGGTCCTGTCCGAAGCTGGCAAGCTCAACTTCCAGCAGCAGAAGCACCCTGGTGTGTTTTCGATTTTCGTAGTCAGGTGAGAAGTGCACTGCAGCGCAACCGTGGCTTCTAGGCTTTTGGATTTCCATCTTCCTTCCCGGCCAAGCAGCGCAGCGGGTTGCAAGTGTTGAGGGTTTCTGCTCCACTTTGGTTGCAGTCTAGAACCACAAGATACCACAACGCAACGACAGCTCTTAAGCAGCACGAAGCTTTACGTAGTTTCCTGCTTGTCATGTGTTGTCCTCAGTGTTTTATATGTATCTGTATCTCTGGTCGTTTGTCAGTTTTGTTGTTTCATGAAATGCATTGCGTCGAGAGTAATTCCATCCGCTGGGGGATACTTCCCCGCGCACACTGTCGCAGCCTGGGTTGTGTCAGGGCTCGCACAGTTTGTGGCGAGGAGCCTGAGCTTCCGAGGCGGTGGGAAGAGTTCGAGGCGAAAATGAAAGCAGAGAAGGAGAGGAAGAAACAAGCATCAGTGGCTGCAAACAGAGGAGACTACGCCTAGGCATGAAGACTTCAATCGTAGGGTGAATGTGAAGACGTGGCTTTGCACCAGGCAGGCGAGGATGCCGCCGAACCTCCTGCTCGGCCAGCTCCGGTTGCACCTGATGCACCAGAGGGGACACCTGGTCGCATGTTTGACGTGATCACGAGCCTTTCCTCACGGTCTTTACACATATTTTGACATTTAGGGCCTAAGCTGTTTGGAAGTTGGAAGAATGCGTGCGTGAGATGTTTATCAGATCAGGCCCCCACCGATGATGCCGGTCGACACGACCGACGCCTCGAATCGAAACCTCATGGTGGCCTGCTTCGTGGCACTGCTCGCTTTGCTGCTGGGATTCTGGCTGTCTAGCCGCCGGTGATCCTTGGCTAGAGCTAGGGCAGCAAGGGGGAAGCGGTGACGCGTTCCCTGAGTGCTGCTTCCACAAGCGCAAGTGCATGTGGTGGCAAGATAGACAAGGAGAGATAGACTCGACGCACGAGATCAGCAGCATGGGCTAAGATTTTTGATTCGGCAATCCATCGGTGTTCTGACATGACTGCGCAAATGAGATATGTGTTTCAGACGGGCGTGCCAGCCGCTGTACATATCCGTTCTCGCACTGGTAGCCAGCAGAAAGTGCGGCCAAAGCAGCACGCCGCCACGTAGAACCGCTGATGGGCTTGCAGATTCAAACCAGTGCGTTTTGATCGAATCCATGCAGCTGAACTTTCCGGGCCAAGGGTGCTAACTAAGGACATTTCAACTTCGTGATCTTGTCGGAGTTTCTGCTGGGAGTTTGCATAAAAAGTCTATGTGTTGTCCGTGTTGGCAGCATATGTTGAGGAATCACAATTGGAGTCAATATCGTTGGTCACTTCCTCTTAGAGTGATTTACGTTATCAGGGCATCGTTGTTCTCGCGGAGCTTCCCGCTTGTTGTGCTTAGTGATTGTATGACTGAAGATTACTCTGGCGATTGTCATTCAAGCCCTTGTCAGCGAAGATCATCCCAAAGACCAAATCGGGACTAACGAACAGTTTATGGACAAATCTGCCCATCTCTTTCAGCATGTACTGGGACCACAAGACCACACAAAAACTTGATAACCGTGTCGCGGCCAATGTTTCTCTGCCAGGCTCGAACAACTTGTCGTGTTGCGGGGCGCCTGGATGCTTGATGTTTCCGCAGTGCTGTATTGAACCACAGGCTTCGTCCTGGCCCACCCAAGTCTTAGCAAGAGAACCCACGCCCTCTGCTCAAGTTGGTGAGCGGCCACGTGACGAAGCAGCGGCAATTCCTCTCCAATCTCGGAGTATCTGACTCAGGGGCTGTTGTCCATTGGGATTGCAGCAAGTTCTGACACAGTGTTTGGTGCAAGGCCAAAGGAAAATGGTGTTTCCGGGTTTGGAGATACGCGTTAGAAAGTGGCTTGGCCCTTCGCAGTCGAAGTAGCGCGGTGCCTTCCTTCGCGATGCACGTGCCTCGCAGCTCAAAGTGCCAGGCCCCTCGCCACCCTGTCGGGGTTGCCTGGAACGGCTCACCGGGGCGCCGATCCGAGAAGCGGGTGCTGAGGTCTGATCAGAAAGAGTTTGAAAACCGCTCTGTTGATTTTTGGCAACCTAAGGAACATGAGCCTTGCAGAAGGCACCGGGTGCGTTCCACTCAGATGCCTGGGTCGAACCTAGAACCACAACGAAAAAAGGAGTGCTTCATGTGATTCATGCATGGAGAAGAGGCATTTGTAGCAAAGCTGCAGAACCATCAGGGTGCAAAGAACGCATTCGCAACTGTTGATTCTTTTGCGACTCTAGGTGTGCCCATGCGGAACAGCACGGTGAAGCTCACACCCATGCAGGCAAGTTCAAGAAGCTCCATGCTGAAAGCTTGTGGTTTAGCTGAAGCAGCCAGGAGAGCATGCACTACCAGAAGCTCAATGCCTCGCAGAAGAGCTTCTTCGGAACCGATTGACGACCCCTCAGCAGAGAAACCGCATGAGATTCACTGTCATTGGGAGCACAGCTGCAGGAGCCAGATATGGAGCTCTCAGTCGAAAGAGGGCTCGCACTTCTGAAGCCAGTGGATCCCTGCGTTGCAGTTCTTGGCCGCTCAAGACATGCCCATGGCAGGGAGCCAGGTTCCAAGTCATGATACTGGCGCAGTCCTCTTTTTATTTATCACTAGAATCACTAGAACGCAGCTCATCAAGATCGAGCTGCAGCTGCGCAAAGGAGCAGCAAAGCATGCGTCTCTCGGAGTCCCATCATGACCCAGGAGAGTGCGTGCACCGGACCCATTGAGGGTATGAATGGTTTCACGAATCATCTCGGTTTCACAGGGCAGGGTTTGTGTGCGTTTACATGATGTCCCGGAAACCGGCAGCATCACAAGTTCTGGCTCCAGTGTCCTGAGTGCCACTCCACCACTCTTCTAGGACAGGTTCTATAGGGTGAGGCAGCAAGATTTAGAGTGTCTATTGGCAAGCATGGCACTGAAGACTGAGATGTCCTCAGTCAATTTGATGCCGAATCCCTCGGGATACAGCGGGCCAAGAATCGAACGCCGACAAGGAGCTTCAAAATCAGTCTGTTAGAGAGTATCATGACTTCCGAGCCCGCGCCAGAGAGAGAGGAGAGAGAGAGAGAGAGCTTTGCTTTCCCTACCCTCCCGCATCATAAGCATGGCGAAAGAAAGCAAAGCAAAGCAAAGCAAAGC